CCCCTCACAAAAGTCTCCGTGGCCTTCGCAAAAATCGATTCTGTTCAGTATCGCGATATTTTCCGCACTCAATTGAATCAATACATTAGATTAAAAGTATCGCGATATTAAATTAAATTATCTGTTTTACTTTGGAGTTTTCTCAGAGTTTAGTGAAGTCAGTTCCTGTGTAGACCATAACTAAGCTTTGGGCGGCACAGTGGCTGAGTGGTTAGCTGTCTCGTTTCTCAGCAAGAAGGTCCTGGGTTCGAATCCCGGTCGGACCAGGGCCTTTCTGAGTGGAGTTTGGATGTTCTCCCCGTGTCTGCATAGGTTTCCTCCTGGTGCTCCGGTTTCCCCTACCACTAAAAACATGTGCATGAGGTCTGAATGTTATGAGTGAATGGATGGTGTTTGGTCGGAGGCTTTGATGGACCGGTGTGTCTAAATGTTTTGTGTCTAAATGTTTTGTTTTGTCCATGTTTTTTAACTGTTGTGTTCGATATATATTAAAATAAAATCACGATATTATTGAATTGTGGCCCAAATATCGCGATACTATCAAATCGTCACATTTTTGCCAGGTCCCAGCTCCAATCATTACTCAAAGGATTCCAGTACCACGTCCTTCTACGGCAGAATGTTCCACAGGAAATGTAGTTTACAGAAACAAACAGTCCCAGCGGAGGTCAGAGGTCACAGCTGCTCTGGTCCGTAGTGCTGCTCGGCTGGAGGGAAACTCTGAAATGAACAAATGAACCACTGGAGCCGTTTCCAGTGTCCGTGGCTAGCTGGGTTAGCATGGTTAGTGTGGGTTAGCATGGTTAGTGTGGGTTAGCATGGTTAGTGTGCGTTTGCGTGGCTAGCTGGGTTAGCATGGTTAGCTTGGTTAGCGTGGATGTTTGGCAGACCGTAATCGTTTTTGGCTAATGGCTGCCATTGGTTCTCTCGGGTCTCTCTCTAGAATCTCGCTCTTATCTCGCTTTGGTCTCTCTCCAGTGTCTCGCTCTGGTCTCTCTCTCGGGTCTCTCGGTCTCTTCACTCTCGGGTATCTCGCTCTGGTCTCACTTGGTCTGGTCTCGCTTGCTCTGGTCTCTTGGGTCTCTCGCTCTGGTCTCGGGTATCTGGCTCTAGTCGCTCTTGCTCTCTCTCTCTCTGTAACGACGCTAACAAAATGGCGGTGACGTCTCTGTAACGACGCTAACAAAATGGCGGTGACGTCTCTGTAACGACGCTAACAAAATGGCGGTGACGTCTCTGTAACGAAGCTAACAAAATGGCGGTGACGTCTCTCTGTAACGACGCTAACAAAATGGCGGTGACGTCTCTCTGTAACGACGCTAACAAAATGGCGGTGACGTCTCTCTGTAACGACGCTAACAAAATGGCGGTGACGTCTCTCTGTAACGACGCTAACAAAATGGCGGTGACGTCTCTCTGTAACGAAGCTAACAAAATGGCGGTGACGTCTCTCTGTAACGAAGCTAACAAAATGGCGGTGACGTCTCTCTGTAACGACGCTAACAAAATGGCGGTGACGTCTCTCTGTAACGACGCTAACAAAATGGCGGTGACGTCTCTCTGTAACGAAGCTAACAAAATGGCGGTGACGTCTCTCTGTAACGACGCTAACAAAATGGCGGTGACGTCTCTCTGTAACGACGCTAACAAAATGGCGGTGACGTCTCTCTGTAACGAAGCTAACAAAATGGCGGTGACGTCTCTCTGTAACGACGCTAACAAAATGGCGGTGACGTCTCTCTGTAACGAAGCTAACAAAATGGCGGTGACGTCTCTCTGTAACGAAGCTAACAAAATGGCGGTGACGTCTCTCTGTAACGACGCTAACAAAATGGCGGTGACGTCTCTCTGTAACGACGCTAACAAAATGGCGGTGACGTCTCTCTGTAACGAAGCTAACAAAATGGCGGTGACGTCTCTCTGTAACGACGCTAACAAAATGGCGGTGACGTCTCTCTGTAACGACGCTAACAAAATGGCGGTGACGTCTCTCTGTAACGAAGCTAACAAAATGGCGGTGACGTCTCTCTGTAACGACGCTAACAAAATGGCGGTGACGTCTCTCTGTAACGACGCTAACAAAATGGCGGTGACGTCTCTCTGTAACGACGCTAACAAAATGGCGGTGACGTCTCTCTGTAACGAAGCTAACAAAATGGCGGTGACGTCTCTCTGTAACGACGCTAACAAAATGGCGGTGACGTCTCTCTGTAACGAAGCTAACAAAATGGCGGTGACGTCTCTCTGTAACGAAGCTAACAAAATGGCGGTGACGTCTCTCTGTAACGAAGCTAACAAAATGGCGGTGACGTCTCTCTGTAACGAAGCTAACAAAATGGCGGTGACGTCTCTCTGTAACGACGCTAACAAAATGGCGGTGACGTCTCTCTGTAACGACGCTAACAAAATGGCGGTGACGTCTCTCTGTAACGACGCTAACAAAATGGCGGTGACGTCTCTCTGTAACGAAGCTAACAAAATGGCGGTGACGTCTCTCTGTAACGACGCTAACAAAATGGCGGTGACGTCTCTCTGTAACGAAGCTAACAAAATGGCGGTGACGTCTCTCTGTAACGACGCTAACAAAATGGCGGTGACGTCTCTCTGTAACGAAGCTAACAAAATGGCGGTGACGTCTCTCTGTAACGAAGCTAACAAAATGGCGGTGACGTCTCTCTGTAACGACGCTAACAAAATGGCGGTGACGTCTCTCTGTAACGAAGCTAACAAAATGGCGGTGACGTCCCTCTGTAACGAAGCTAACAAAATGGCGGTGACGTCTCTCTGTAACGAAGCTAACAAAATGGCGGTGACGTCTCTCTGTAACGAAGCTAACAAAATGGCGGTGACGTCTCTCTGTAACGAAGCTAACAAAATGGCGGTGACGTCTCTCTGTAACGAAGCTAACAAAATGGCGGTGACGTCTCTCTGTAACGAAGCTAACAAAATGGCGGTGACGTCTCTCTGTAACGAAGCTAACAAAATGGCGGTGACGTCTCTCTGTAACGAAGCTAACAAAATGGCGGTGACGTCTCTCTGTAACGACGCTAACAAAATGGCGGTGACGTCTCTCTGTAACGACGCTAACAAAATGGCGGTGACGTCTCTCTGTAACGACGCTAACAAAATGGCGGTGACGTCTCTCTGTAACGACGCTAACAAAATGGCGGTGACGTCTCTCTGTAACGACGCTAACAAAATGGCGGTGACGTCTCTCTGTAACGACGCTAACAAAATGGCGGTGACGTCTCTCTGTAACGAAGCTAACAAAATGGCGGTGACGTCTCTCTGTAACGACGCTAACAAAATGGCGGTGACGTCCCTCTGTAACGAAGCTAACAAAATGGCGGTGACGTCTCTCTGTAACGAAGCTAACAAAATGGCGGTGACGTCTCTCTGTAACGACGCTAACAAAATGGCGGTGACGTCTCTCTGTAACGAAGCTAACAAAATGGCGGTGACGTCTCTCTGTAACGACGCTAACAAAATGGCGGTGACGTCTCTCTGTAACGACGCTAACAAAATGGCGGTGACGTCTCTCTGTAACGACGCTAACAAAATGGCGGTGACGTCTCTCTGTAACGAAGCTAACAAAATGGCGGTGACGTCTCTCTGTAACGACGCTAACAAAATGGCGGTGACGTCTCTCTGTAACGACGCTAACAAAATGGCGGTGACGTCTCTCTGTAACGACGCTAACAAAATGGCGGTGACGTCTCTCTGTAACGACGCTAACAAAATGGCGGTGACGTCTCTCTGTAACGAAGCTAACAAAATGGCGGTGACGTCTCTCTGTAACGAAGCTAACAAAATGGCGGTGACGTCTCTCTGTAACGAAGCTAACAAAATGGCGGTGACGTCTCTCTGTAACGACGCTAACAAAATGGCGGTGACGTCTCACTGTAACGACGCTAACAAAATGGCGGTGACGTCTCTCTGTAACGAAGCTAACAAAATGGCGGTGACGTCTCTCTGTAACGAAGCTAACAAAATGGCGGTGACGTCTCTCTGTAACGACGCTAACAAAATGGCGGTGACGTCTCTCTGTAACGACGCTAACAAAATGGCGGTGACGTCTCTCTGTAACGACGCTAACAAAATGGCGGTGACGTCTCTCTGTAACGACGCTAACAAAATGGCGGTGACGTCTCTCTGTAACGACGCTAACAAAATGGCGGTGACGTCTCTCTGTAACGAAGCTAACAAAATGGCGGTGACGTCTCTCTGTAACGACGCTAACAAAATGGCGGTGACGTCTCTCTGTAACGACGCTAACAAAATGGCGGTGACGTCTCTCTGTAACGAAGCTAACAAAATGGCGGTGACGTCTCTCTGTAACGACGCTAACAAAATGGCGGTGACGTCTCTCTGTAACGAAGCTAACAAAATGGCGGTGACGTCTCTCTGTAACGACGCTAACAAAATGGCGGTGACGTCTCTCTGTAACGACGCTAACAAAATGGAGATGACGTCTCTCTGTAACGAAGCAACAAAATGGGTGACGTCCCTCTTAACGACGCTAACAAAATGTAACGAACGACGCTAACAAAATGGCGGTGACGTCTCTGTAACGAAGCTAACAAAATGGCGGTGACGTCTCTGTAACGACGCTAACAAAATGGCGGTGACGTCTCTCTGTAACGAAGCTAACAAAATGGCGGTGAGCCGACGAAGCTCAAAATGGCGTGACTCTCTGTAACGACGCTAACAAAATGGCGGTGACGTCTCTCTGTAACGACGCTAACAAAATGGCGGTGACGTCTCTCTGTAACGAAGCTAACAAAATGGCGGTGACGTCTCTGTAACGACGCTAAAAAATGGCGGTGACGTCTCTGTAACGAAGCTAACAAAATGGCGGTGACGTCCTCTTAACGCAACAAAATGGCGGTGACGTCTCTCTGTAACGACGCTAACAAAATGGCGGTGACGTCTCTCTGTAACGACGCTAACAAAATGGCGGTGACGTCTCTGTAACGACGCTAACAAAATGGCGGTGACGTCTCTCTGTCTCTCTTAACGACGCTAACAAAATGGCGGTGACGTCGGCGGTGACGTCTCTCTGTAACGACGCTAACAAAATGGCGGTGACGTCTCTCTGTAACGAAGCTAACAAAATGGCGGTGACGTCTCTCTGTAACGACAAAATGCTAACAAAATGGCGGTGAACGGACTCTCTCTGTAACGAAGCTAACAAAATGGCGGTGACGTCTCTCTGTAACGAAGCTAACAAAATGGCGGTGACGTCTCTCTGTAACGACGCTAACAAAATGGCGGTGACGTCTCTCTGTAACGACGCTAACAAAATGGCGGTGACGTCTCTCTGTAACGAAGCTAACAAAATGGCGGTGACGTCTCTCTGTAACGACGCTAACAAAATGGCGGTGACGTCTCTCTGTAACGACGCTAACAAAATGGCGGTGACGTCTCTCTGTAACGACGCTAACAAAATGGAGATGACGTCTCTGTAACGAAGCTAACAAAATGGCGTGACGTCCCTCTGTAACGACGCTAACAAAATGGCGGTGACGTCTCTGTAACGACGCTAACAAAATGGCGGTGACGTCTCTGTAACGAAGCTAACAAAATGGCGGTGACGTCTCTGTAACGACGCTAACAAAATGGCGGTGACGTCTCTCTGTAACGAAGCTAACAAAATGGCGGTGACGTCTCTCTGTAACGAAGCTAACAAAATGGCGGTGACGTCTCTGTAACGACGCTAACAAAATGGCGGTGACGTCTCTGTAACGAAGCTAACAAAATGGCGGTGACGTCTCTCTGTAACGACGCTAACAAAATGGCGGTGACGTCTCTCTGTAACGAAGCTAACAAAATGGCGGTGACGTCTCTGTAACGACGCTAACAAAATGGCGGTGACGTCTCTGTAACGAAGCTAACAAAATGGCGGTGACGTCTCTCTGTAACGACGCTAACAAAATGGCGGTGACGTCTCTCTGTAACGACGCTAACAAAATGGCGGTGACGTCTCTCTGTAACGAAGCTAACAAAATGGCGGTGACGTCTCTCTGTAACGAAGCTAACAAAATGGCGGTGACGTCTCTCTGTAACGAAGCTAACAAAATGGCGGTGTGTCTTTCAGGAAGGCCGAGAGCAGTATGAGCTGGCTGCCACCTCGGAGCAGGGCGGCAAGAAGAAGGCCAAGGCCAAGAAGAAGGAGAAGGACATGGACGAGCTGAAGAAGGAGGTGGACATGGTGAGACTCCAGTTGGTTTAAAATAACTTTATTAGCTAAAAAAAAACAATCACGAATTTCACTCTGATCTGGTTAGAACGTTGGAGAAAAGGGGCGGGGCCGTCAGAGCGATACCATATATTTCCAAATTATACGATGGTATTTTTTCAGTAAAAAAGAATGACTTTTGGTGTTTATCCAACGCTCCGCCCACTTTGAACAAAACGCAAAACTATTGGTGTTGAAGAGTGACCCCTGTGGGACATCTGTGTGTATTACAGGACGACCACAAACTGACACTGGACGAGCTCAACCGCAAATACGGCACCGACCTCACCAATGTAAGTCTCTCTGTCTCTGTCTCTTTCTCTGTCTCTCTCTCTGTCTCTCTCTGTCTCTCTCTGTCTCTCTCTGTCTCTCTCTGTCTCTCTCTCTGTCTCTCTCTGTCTCTCTCTGTCTCTCTGTTTGTCTCTCTCTGTCTCTCTGTTTGTCTCTGTCTGTCTCTCTCTCTGTCTGTCTCTCTCTCTGTCTGTCTCTCTCTCTGTCTGTCTCTCTCTCTGTCTCCCTCTCTGTCAGTGTCTCTCTGTCTGTCTCTCTCTCTGTCTGTCTCTCTCACTCACATCAGGGCCCTCAGACTCTCTTACACACACACACACACACTAGTTAATGAGTTTCTCTTGAATGCGTGTTGCTGAATAATGCCATTTGTCTCATCAGCTCCTCTCTCTCTCTCTCCCCCTCCTTCTCCTTTCCCACTTGTCTTTCTCTTCTCTCTCTTCTCTCTCCTCTTTCTCCCTGGGGTCCGACCTGTAGTGTCGTTGCCATGGCGACACTGTGGTTACCTCCAGATCCACCTCTTTGGAGCCAGAGAAAGACCTCACTGTCTCTTTGATCCAACACAAAGTTATGACTGAAATAAAACCATAAAAATGACACATTACTTTAATCTACAAGTACTTATTTTCTCACTGGTTTCTGCCACTGATGGTGTGTATCATGTCGGAGGTGTGGACCGCTCTGCTCTCAACCAATCAGAGCGCTGCAAAGTCACATGACAGAGAGACATGTTGTTTCTTTTTCGCAGGGTCTGACCAACGCCAAGGCGGCCGAGAATCTGGCTCGGGACGGTCCCAACGCCCTCACGCCTCCCCCCACCACCCCAGAGTGGGTCAAGTTCTGCAAACAGGTAAAAGACCAGAGTCCGGAGGGTCGCACCAGAGCTGACGGCCAGAGGAGATTTTAGCTTCAGACGTTTGTTCGTTCTGGGTTTATTCTGCCTGAAATCACAAGTGAAAAGCCCTGGCAAAGGTCCGTCATTTTAGATTTTGGTAAGACCGAACCGAGGCCATGACGAGACCATGACGAGACCGAGACTTGGACCAAGACGAGGCCGGGACCGAGACCATGACAATACCATGACCGAGACGAGACGAAGACAAGAATGTTAAAGATTTCGGATTGATTCATCTATGAAAGACGGTTTAATGTTTATAAATCTGTAAATAACTTCTGCCTGTTGGAGATTCTTACAGTCAGTCTGCATGGGCCAGGCTCGTTTTAAAGCTGGGGTTCCTGACTTTTTAAAGGTCTAAATATGTATCTTCTCAGTCTCATCAGAAAGGGTCCAAATATGAGGAAATTGGGACCACACCAGCTGTTGCAGACCATGTGACCGAGACCAGAAACTCATGGATGTGACTGAGATACAAAATGTAAAAACTGGTGATGGAGACAAACTGCTCAGTGATGTTCCAGGCCACTGAAGCCGGTGCATGGGGCCAGGGCTTGGTCTGGGTCTGGGTCTGGGTCTTGGTCTGGGTCTGGGTCTGGGTCTGGGTCTGGGTCTGAGTCTGGGTCTGAGTCTGGGTCTGGGTCTGGGTCTGGGTCTGGGTCTGAGTCTGGGTCTGAGTCTGGGTCTGAGTGGATGTTCTGTGCCTGTGCAGATGTTTGGGGGCTTCTCCATGCTGCTGTGGACCGGGGCCATCCTCTGCTTCTTGGCCTACGGGATCCAGGCGGCTCTGGAGGACGAGCCGGCCAACGACAACGTAAGACTCTTCAATTCATAAAAACGCTTCAACTTTTCAAACTCGTAAAAAAGATTCAGATTTATGTTATTTGCCATTTGCAGTAAAACCACATTGGAATACACTAGCAAAAGTCCCCAGTGTGCACCAGACAAGTACATACATACAACAAACAAAACAATTGACACTGAAATCGAAGAATTCTAAACTTCTATCACCAAATACGGTTTTATTTCAACCTAAATTTCCATCCATTTTCTTCCGCTTTACCCGTTGCTGGGTCATGAGGGCAGCCGTCTGAGTAGAGACCTCCAGACCAGCTGAGAGACCTCCAGCTCGGCCTGGGTCTTCCTCTGGTCTCTCTCACACTTCCCCAGAGAGACGTCTCAAAGGCATCCCAAACAAACGCCTGAGCCACCTCAACTGGCTCCTCTCAACATGGACAAGCAGCGGCTCTACTCCGAGCTCCTCTTGTGTGACTCTGAGCCTCTCTGCGGATTCAAGTGGGCCACTTGTATCCGCAACCTCGTCCTTTCGGTCATTAGCCAAAGCCTTTGACCATAGTGAGGTGAGGGACGGGAGCGACTGAGTGGTAGAACCAGAGCTCTGACAGCAGACGCTACTCCCTCATGACCAGAGCTGAGGGTGGGATTGTAGACTGTGCATAGACGAGGAACCTGAATCATACAGTTTTTAATAATTTGTGTAGTTTTGAGGTTAGGGCTCCACCACCACCGCTTTTTCCAATGATCTTTTTTGGCTGGAGTTTGGTTTGGTGCAGTCAATGGTCCCGACTTCAGTCATGGACGCTCGTCTCTCTCCCGCAGTTGTACCTGGGTGTGGTGCTGTCCGCTGTGGTCATCATCACCGGCTGCTTCTCCTACTATCAAGAGGCCAAGAGCTCCAAGATCATGGACTCCTTCAAGAACCTGGTGCCACAGGTACAGTCAGGGTCTATCTTCAGTGGCTAAATTATACAGTATGTGAATAGTATAATAGTATCTTTGAAGTCCTTTTTGCAGACTATATAGCTACTGCTTGGTACATTGGTCATGAACCTACAACCAACAGTGAGTTCAGAGGGTTAGAAAACTGTCTAAAGTGTGTGGTGAGAAGTTAAAGCCTAAAACATAGAGCTGCTACTTTAAGGATTTCTCTGATTTGTGGGTTATTTTCAGAACGTTGGTTTATTATTGGGGTTACCTTGGGATTAACCAAACTCATCTTTCCGTACGTTTCGCAGCAAGCTCTGGTGGTGCGCGACGGCGAGAAGAAGAACATCAACGCCGAGGAGGTGGTGGTGGGAGACCTGGTGGAGGTGAAGGGAGGAGACCGGATCCCAGCTGATCTGAGAATCATCTCTGCTCATGGCTGCAAGGTACACCCCGGAATCGGTCGTGCTTTCTAATCTCAGTCTGGTCTTTCTCCCTCTGGTCTCTCGCTGTGGTGTCTTCCTCTGGTCTGGTCAGGGCTCTTCCTCTGGTCTCTCTCTGTGGTGTCTTCCTCTGATCTAGTCTGGTCTGGTCAGGACTCTTCCCTTTTGCCTCATTCTTGGGTTTGTGCCCCATTTTTTTAAAAACCCAAAAGGCTGTGGCTGCTCTACTTCAAACTGGAGACATCCCTAAACCTGGATAAATGTTTGTTGAGGCTATATCCGTTCTTTCACAGGTGGACAACTCTTCCCTGACCGGTGAGTCTGAGCCTCAGACCCGAACTCCCGACTTCTCCAACGAAAACCCACTGGAGACGAGGAACATCGCATTCTTCTCCACAAACTGTGTGGAAGGTACGATGGCCAGAGTCGGCTGTATTTGCAGATATGATCATTTTCATTATCTCACTCTGTGGGATTAAAGGCGGGATGGACCATGAGGCAAATGTTGGCAAATGTTGGCCAATAACATGTAAAAGCTAAAAAGAATGTATACATTATTTTTGTTAATGTAAGGCTATTTTATGTCGTCTGATTTATAGTTTACTGATTAGGAAAGCATGATTACAGCACAAAGGGATGCCATTTTTGCGGATATCGACCACCGACCGGGTTTGAGAAGTTGTGTCCAATCCTCCTTTTAGAAAACATAAGCCCACATCCCGTATGGTTCTGGTTAAGAAATCAGGAAATATGTTGAAAGTGTATACTGTATATTGCTCCACGTGGGTAAAAAAACAATAGTCCAGTATTATGCAATTCTCTCTGGTCTGTTGTCTCGCTCTCTCTTTATCTCTGGTCTCTCACTTGAGAAAATATCCACTGTTACTTTTCTCTTTTCTCTACTTTTCTCTGGTTTAAGTCCTGTTCTTTTGGTGACCTCTTCCTTCATTACACAGGAACCGCCAGAGGCATCGTCATCAGCACCGGAGACCGCACCGTCATGGGCCGTATCGCCACACTGGCCTCGGGGCTGGAGGTGGGCCGTACCCCCATCTCCATCGAGATCGAGCACTTCATCCACATCATCACCGGAGTGGCCGTCTTCCTGGGAGTGTCCTTCTTCGTGCTGTCCCTCATCCTGGGCTATTCCTGGCTGGAGGCGGTCATCTTCCTCATCGGTATCATCGTGGCCAACGTGCCCGAGGGACTGCTGGCTACTGTCACTGTGAGTCAGACTACCACTCGACTACAACATCTCCTCAGGGTTGAGAAGGCTTGGTCCTTAGGGTTCAGAAGGTTCGATCCTCAGGGTTCAGAAGACTCGGTTCTTGGGGTTCAGAAGACTTGGTCTTGGCGTTCAGTTCTTGGTGATTTTATTCATTGTGTGCAGTATGGAATGGGGTGAGTGGAAGGGAGACCACAGAGAAGGCTGGAGGTGATGAAGGCGTGGAACCACTGCTTACTTCCTCTTTCATTCACAGTATCTTGGTACTTGTTTTGGCATTGGGATTACAGTGTTGCCGTGTACAAGCTCATTGATTACCACTGTCGAACTATGAGCTTCTACCAGCAAAACAAGTTCACTGACGTCTGCCTTTGTGCTCGGCAGGTGTGTCTGACTCTGACGGCCAAGCGCATGGCCAAGAAAAACTGCCTGGTGAAGAACCTGGAGGCCGTGGAAACCCTGGGCTCCACCTCCACCATCTGCTCCGACAAGACCGGCACCCTGACCCAGAACAGGATGACCGTGGCCCACATGTGGTTCGACAACCAGATCCACGAAGCCGACACCACCGAGAACCAGAGTGGGACCTCCTTCGACCGCAGCTCCGCCACGTGGGCCGCTCTGGCACGTGTGGCCGGCCTCTGCAACCGCGCCGTCTTCCTGGCTGAGCAGAGTGGCCTGCCTATTCTGAAGGTGAGCGTTTGGAAATGGGAACGTGTTTATATTTCTGATGGATGAGTGTACTGTATGACTGTATTGGCACGATGTTAGATTCAAGATTTATGAATGTGATTTAAGATTTTGAAGTCTTAAATTGAAATTGTCGCGGTATTTAGAGTACTCACATTTTCTTTGATATATTTGCTTTTGGGTCTAGGGTTATTCTAAACTATGCGACCTGCGTTCAACACTGTTCTCAAGCCAAATGGGGAAAAAAAAAATCTCTGGATGATGTTTGTTTTGGGCCTTGAGGTGGTGTTCGGTGTCACTCCAGAAACAATAACATATTATTGGTTAAAAGCTCAGTAACTTCTTTTTACCATTAAAAAAAACCATTGTCAGGATCAAAAAGATAGTGTCCAAAGCCCACCTGTTCTGGGTTTTGTGTGAGAGCTTGTGGGAATTTAGACTGACAAGATCTCGTAGCTGTAGATTTTTGTCCCCAGCCTTTAAATAGACTCCGCTAAAGGCTGTCATTGGGAACTATTCTGATATGGCTCCAAATCAAACTCATGCAGTATGTACCATTTACTCTGAGTACAAGCTACAATCCCTGCTTAATCCAATGTGTCTCTGAAATGTGGTCCTTGAACTGCTGTGTGTAAATGTGGATAATTCTTCTCTAGTATATTTTCCAACTTCTTTATTTGCTTCATGTTTTTTCAGAGAGATGTCGCTGGTGACGCTTCAGAGTCTGCTTTGCTCAAGTGTATAGAACTGTGCTGTGGATCGGTGCAAGAAATGAGGGACAAGAACACCAAAGTCGCTGAGATTCCATTCAACTCCACCAACAAATACCAGGTGTGCCATTCACAATCCAAAGTGCCTAATACAACAATGGCCGCAATTTGTCTTTTGTCCCAGGGCTAAGATTTTGGCTGATTCTGTTGTATTTGATGGGACTTTGGCTATACGTTTTCATTTCAATCTGGACATGATATATTCCTAAATGCAACAATTGCTGGA